AACCGCAAAGTTCTAACTGGAAATTTATGCTTTATTTATAAGATAAAATAAATAAATACACACGTGGAGCTAAATGAATGAATCTTTTATATATACAGATAAAAAAAAAAAAACATATCAAATATCAAAATTTGACTTTTAATCATAACGTAATGCAATGCATAATTATGTCATCGCAAGTTAGTGGGATGCCCATAAAATGCAATTTTCTTAAGACCACTATGAAGCTTTTCTTTTGGCCGGGACCTCCAAAATAATGGTTACCAAATTATTATTGTTTTTTTATTGCATTATTTTTAATTCATTTACTTGAACGCTAAATTTATATTAGTCGAAAAAAATGTAACAGACCTAAACCTATTTTATTATACGATCCAGGTGCAGGTGTTCTTGTTAAACTATATAGTAAACTTTCTTTTTTTTACAAACAAACTTCCTTATAGATACCAGATTTTCAAAACAATGACGTATTACAATAATAAATTAATTACTTGAAAGAAAATCCATAAAGAAGATTATGAAAGAAAAAAACACCCATTCTGTGCAGGAATGAAAATTTTTTATAAATACGAGGTAAGTACGAACGTAGGTACATACCTTGAGTGTGATATTCGCTAGTGAACCAACCATGGTTATGAAAGAAAAATCTACATGCACGTAAACTTATTGGTTCGTTTAATTCCAGATGGTGAAAAGAAAGGTATCTCTAATGCAGCCAATTGACCGATTGCTTGCTTGTTTTTTTTTACTTACGTTGTTCTACATGAAGGAGATCATAACGATAAACGTAAATGCGGAATTAAAGCAATTTCTTGTTTGAAGGTAAGGTATGACAAGATACCAAATTTAATGATTTTCGATGCCATAAATAATTTAAAAACTAATATCGATAGCCAATAACATTTTTATAATTTTATAAGGAAATTAATTATGCAAAAGATGTATCGATTAAATTTCACGCTTTGATACAATTTACAAATTTACCGTGCATTACTTCAGCAAATTTGATGTCACGCAAAATAAAAAAAACGTCACATAAAGCAATTTTTTTCCGAAATGCGAGCTTACAAAACATAGTACTGTATTACACTAGATGAGAACCTCGGTTGCATTATCACGCATATATTAATTAAATTAAAATAATAATGACATACCAGATATCGATACAAATTGCTGGATTCACGCACGTGAATAATCATATGCTATGATACTAAACCAATAGTTCGTTTAATTGTGAATTTGTGAATTTACGAATTAATAGCTTTAAGGTGATAGAATGACGTATTTTGAACATTTTTGAACATTTTTTGAACATTTTTGAACATTTCAAGAACGTACATTCGTACCTTAGTATTTCAAGAATGCAAAACAATTCAAAACAATCAAGCCAGATAACTTCAAGTACTTTAAAGAAAGTCAGGGACATACAAACAAACCGGCAACTAATTAATTAATCCATTACGAGTGATTTTTTATGAAGATTAAAAATAGAGTTTATACCTTTGCAATAATAGACAATAGAAAATGATTTTTAATCTATTTATGTAAGTACATATGTATACACATTGTGTACATGAACTCATCAAAGGTTTACATTTCGAATTCTGTTGTTTGATTTATTTCGATTATGTAATATTAATATATTATATTTTTATATTTTATTCTATTGGTTTATAGTAATAAAGTTTATGCGAGATTATAGTTAACAAATAGTTCGAAATCACTTTTTTTGAAATTATGAATTCGCGTTCTATGAAAAGATTTTTTGATAGATTAAACAAAAAAATTACATGTATATATTTAGATATGTTTGTCTTATTTACACTATGAAAAAATATCCCAATCGAGTAATACCTTTTAAATAATACCTTTTAGAGAAGTTCTTGTGCTTAAAAAACTTCAAACCTTCTCCAAATGAAGTATGAATGAACGTCATTCGTGTTCGATCCTGTCTAATTCTGGATCAATGTTGTTACATTTATGACTATTGATAACATATTAGTATTAATGAATCGTTTTTTAGAATTGATGTTTATTCTCAAAACGTTTACCTTACTCTCAAAAAGTTTACTCTCAAAACTTTTTAATCTCTCACAAATAAATAATTAGTCCATATATTTATATAATTTATATAATTTATAATTTGTATAATTGTATAATTTATAATTTATATAATTTGTATAATTTGTATAATTTATATAATTGTATAATTGTATAATTTGTATAATTTATATAATTTATATAATTTATATAATTTATATAATTTATATAATTTATATAATCTGTATAATCTGTATAATTTGTATAACTTGTGTGGATTGCTCTAAGCCAATAATTGACCTTTTTTATGTTGAATCTTTCGCTATAGTTTTAGTTTTAGCCTGCATAGTCTGCTATAGTCTGCTATAATTTGTAATTTGTATTATAGGTTCTACATATGACAACCAGAAAACCAGAATGATGTGCATTAGTATGAATATCTGTACCTTTGTTTATCTTTACAATTTAGGTTTGAATATCAAATTTGATCTTGTACTCACGCACTACATAAACTTGCGTATCTTCTTTTCTTTAATTTTTTTTCTCGAATACCTGTGTTGCACGGTTCAATTATTGGCTTAGAGCAATCCACACAAGTTATACAAATTATACAGATTATACAGATTATATAAATTATATAAATTATATAAATTATATAAATTATATAAATTATATAAATTATACAAATTATACAATTATACAATTATATAAATTATACAAATTATACAAATTATATAAATTATAAATTATACAATTATACAAATTATAAATTATATAAATTATATAAATATATGGACTAATTATTTATTTGTGAGAGATTAAAAAGTTTTGAGAGTAAACTTTTTGAGAGTAAGGTAAACGTTTTGAGAATAAACATCAATTCTAAAAAACGATTCATTAATACTAATATGTTATCAATAGTCATAAATGTAACAACATTGATCCAGAATTAGACAGGATCGAACACGAATGACGTTCATTCATACTTCATTTGGAGAAGGTTTGAAGTTTTTTAAGCACAAGAACTTCTCTAAAAGGTATTATTTAAAAGGTATTACTCGATTGGGATATTTTTTCATAGTGTAAATAAGACAAACATATCTAAATATATACATGTAATTTTTTTGTTTAATCTATCAAAAAATCTTTTCATAGAACGCGAATTCATAATTTCAAAAAAAGTGATTTCGAACTATTTGTTAACTATAATCTCGCATAAACTTTATTACTATAAACCAATAGAATAAAATATAAAAATATAATATATTAATATTACATAATCGAAATAAATCAAACAACAGAATTCGAAATGTAAACCTTTGATGAGTTCATGTACACAATGTGTATACATATGTACTTACATAAATAGATTAAAAATCATTTTCTATTGTCTATTATTGCAAAGGTATAAACTCTATTTTTAATCTTCATAAAAAATCACTCGTAATGGATTAATTAATTAGTTGCCGGTTTGTTTGTATGTCCCTGACTTTCTTTAAAGTACTTGAAGTTATCTGGCTTGATTGTTTTGAATTGTTTTGCATTCTTGAAATACTAAGGTACGAATGTACGTTCTTGAAATGTTCAAAAATGTTCAAAAAATGTTCAAAAATGTTCAAAATACGTCATTCTATCACCTTAAAGCTATTAATTCGTAAATTCACAAATTCACAATTAAACGAACTATTGGTTTAGTATCATAGCATATGATTATTCACGTGCGTGAATCCAGCAATTTGTATCGATATCTGGTATGTCATTATTATTTTAATTTAATTAATATATGCGTGATAATGCAACCGAGGTTCTCATCTAGTGTAATACAGTACTATGTTTTGTAAGCTCGCATTTCGGAAAAAAATTGCTTTATGTGACGTTTTTTTTATTTTGCGTGACATCAAATTTGCTGAAGTAATGCACGGTAAATTTGTAAATTGTATCAAAGCGTGAAATTTAATCGATACATCTTTTGCATAATTAATTTCCTTATAAAATTATAAAAATGTTATTGGCTATCGATATTAGTTTTTAAATTATTTATGGCATCGAAAATCATTAAATTTGGTATCTTGTCATACCTTACCTTCAAACAAGAAATTGCTTTAATTCCGCATTTACGTTTATCGTTATGATCTCCTTCATGTAGAACAACGTAAGTAAAAAAAAACAAGCAAGCAATCGGTCAATTGGCTGCATTAGAGATACCTTTCTTTTCACCATCTGGAATTAAACGAACCAATAAGTTTACGTGCATGTAGATTTTTCTTTCATAACCATGGTTGGTTCACTAGCGAATATCACACTCAAGGTATGTACCTACGTTCGTACTTACCTCGTATTTATAAAAAATTTTCATTCCTGCACAGAATGGGTGTTTTTTTCTTTCATAATCTTCTTTATGGATTTTCTTTCAAGTAATTAATTTATTATTGTAATACGTCATTGTTTTGAAAATCTGGTATCTATAAGGAAGTTTGTTTGTAAAAAAAAGAAAGTTTACTATATAGTTTAACAAGAACACCTGCACCTGGATCGTATAATAAAATAGGTTTAGGTCTGTTACATTTTTTTCGACTAATATAAATTTAGCGTTCAAGTAAATGAATTAAAAATAATGCAATAAAAAAACAATAATAATTTGGTAACCATTATTTTGGAGGTCCCGGCCAAAAGAAAAGCTTCATAGTGGTCTTAAGAAAATTGCATTTTATGGGCATCCCACTAACTTGCGATGACATAATTATGCATTGCATTACGTTATGATTAAAAGTCAAATTTTGATATTTGATATGTTTTTTTTTTTTTATCTGTATATATAAAAGATTCATTCATTTAGCTCCACGTGTGTATTTATTTATTTTATCTTATAAATAAAGCATAAATTTCCAGTTAGAACTTTGCGGTTACTCTCACTTACTATACTGACCATACAATTCTCTCTCTAATACTGTAACATAAACATGTCTAATAATACGATCCATATCCCTTACTTTTTCGATAACAATAAAAACATAACGGCTCTCAATAGATCTTCAATTGAAGTGAGTTTAGATAAAAATTTCAAATTTTAACTTTTATTATATGCTATTTCTTTATTTCGATTTTAATTCAGTTTTTATATAGAGCCAGTCCGAACCGCAAGAAGTCAACATTCCCTTATTCCAAGTAATTTAGTAATTTACATGATTTTTTTATTCTTTCGATGATTTTGGTTATGATTATAATAGGATACTTTGAACTATATTAAAAACATAAAAGTAATGCAACACGCATTAATTTTTTAATAAAACATAGTAACTATTAAAATTTTCTTTCTAGATTAGAATTTTAACGAATATTTTTTTAAATTTTTATTCTATATCAAAATAAAGCTTATCATTTGTAGTTTCTAGAAAATCTTTTTTCGAATTTTTTAAAAAGTTTTATCATAACGTTATTTTAAGAGTTAATTGCAAGAAAAAAAATTTCACAAGCATTATAAAAATTTTTTGTTTGCAATTTACTCTTGGAAAACTTTGTCATAAAAAAAAAATTAAAAAATCTGAAAAAAAAAAAACATTTTTTAGAAACTACGAATAATGAACTTTGATTTTAATGTAAATAAAAATTTTTAAAAAATCTTAAGACTTTAATCTAAAAAGAAAATTTCAATAGTTACTGTGTTTTATTATAAGAATTAATAAAATTTTGCATTACTTTTACTACTTTTACTACTTTTCTACTTTTATACCGGATAGTACGTACGTACGGTTTGTAAAAGAAACAATTCGTCACCATTAAAAATGGTTACTTATAAAAAATTGAATTTTACAAGTCTATATGGGATCTTTACTAGGAAAATGACCCTCCGTGGCTATGTTGATTTTGTGGAAATTAAATTTGCCCGGCCATCTAGTCATCCCATTCGAATGATCTTTTTTGTAAAGCTTATTTAGCTCCACAAAATAACAAGTTCATTCAAATTGGATAATTGGATGGTTGGCAAATTTAATTTTTATTCACAAAATCAACATAGCTTTGGAGGGTCATTTTCCTAGCAAAGATCCCATATTAATCGTACGTACGATCAAAATTTAGTATACTTTATTGAATACCCGAGTTTGGGTCAATTCAAATAATAACAACGTATAATTCATATAAATAATATTAGTTCGGAGTATCCTTCAGATTTCAACTAATATTCATTTCAACTAATTAATCTACGTTTTTTTTTTTTCAAAAACAAAATTTAGCCAACAACTTCAGACGTTCAAGTAAGTGTAACAAACAATAATTTTATCTTTATTAGTGATAGATTAAAATTTATGAATCATCACAACAATAATAGTTTGATCCATAAAATAAATAAATAAATAAATGATCATGTTTCAGAAAAAAATTAATATTTATACAATATTCTTATCCTAATATCAGTCTCAAACATTCTTCCCGCAAAATAATTTGAATAATGTGCAACACACGACAGCTGTTAATAATTTATCATTGGTAAGTCATAAAGAAATTTTCTTTCTTTTTTATTAAATTTTTATTAACATTCGTACTTACTTTTCAACTTTCAGATTGACCCGCATGTTTTAGAGGTTTGTGTTACAATGCTGTTTTTCTCCCCCAAGTTTCTATTTGACCAATCAGAAACAAGATCACGTGCACGTTTGATGTAACATTGAAAGAAAAACAAAATATAAATAGAAACTTAAATCCTCCTACGGTTTCTCATATTATATGTGAATGCTAGCTAAACAATTTTTTCTCTTTTTTTTTTTCAAAAAAAAAAAAAAAATTTTTGGAAAAAATTTTTTTTGTCTCAAATTCGTATAGGCTTTGCCTCACAGCCAAGCATCAGAATACCACAAGAATATTGCAGCTGTTCATGCACAATATCTTTCACATTTATCAGTTCCCAATTCTGGTTACATGTTTGGTGAAGATTTCACGCGGCAGGCTATGGAAAAGGTTAAGGTAATTTCATTCTAACAATAAAATTTTGATTTTTTTGGAAGAACCCGAATTTTATTTAAATGAATAAATTACAAATTCGTTAAAAATGACGTATTCCTTGCATTATTTTAAGCGAAAACATTTATCTTAATTTGTAAACTATTCAGATCACTGCATCATGCAATACATCACAACAATCCCCAAACACCCCAACAATCACCAATCAGCCCACATTACCAGTAAACCAAAAACCTTCTGTTTATACAAAATGGACAGAACAGGAAGATGAATTACTTCGTGAAGCAGTCCAAAGATACGGGCCACATAAATGGTCATTAATTGCAACCCATGTTCCAAATAGAACTCCCATGCAATGTTCCGCGCGTTGGGTCGGCGCTTTAAATCCATCGGTCCTTAAAGGTCGTTGGACCTCGGTGGAAGATGCAGCACTCACAGAGACTGTATCTCGTTATCTTAATGCAGTGGACTCTCAAGGAAATCCTCAGCCAATACCGTGGAATAAAGTTTCTAAGCAGATTCCACAAAGAACCGGTGCTCAATGCCAAGCACGTTGGACTGAAGCATTAGATCCCCGTATTAAAAAAGGAAAATGGTCGCCTAGCGAAGATAGCATATTAAAAGAAGGTGTAAAGATTTATGGTCGCTGTTGGATCCGGATTGCTGAGATGATTCAAGGTCGAACGCAGGTAACCGAGTAATTTACTTATCATTTTAACGTGACAACTTTTTTCCGTGTTATACGGTCAGACCTCGCTATAGTCTCCCTTGTTATAGTCATTCTATTTTTACTCTTTATATAGTCACTCTATTTTTAAATCTTTATATGATCACCCTATTTTTTAATCACCCTATTTCTTAATCTTTATATAATTACCCTATTGTTTAATCACCCTATTTCTTAATCTATTTCTTAATCTTTATATAATCACACTATTTCTTAATCTTTATATAATCACACTATTTCTTAATCTTTATTTAGTCACCCTATTTTTTAATCTTTATATAGTCACAACTTTTTACACTCACCAAATTGTTGTTTCCAACCTGGTGATTATATTGAGGTCTGACTACTTTTTTTTTTTTATACAATATACTCAACGTACTTTTTTTTTTTTTTTACTATAATCTTTAATAATCTTTAATATTCTTTAATATGATTGATTCTTTTAATATACCCTAA